TCTTTATCTATCACTTCAAAATTAGGGCACCTCAGTGGGACAGCGGTATGTCTGCGGACTTAAAACGCTAGAATCCTGGTTTCGATACCCGTGGTGGGCACAGATAGCTCATTGTGTAGCTTTGTGCTTAACTTCAAACAAACAATAAATAATTTTGAAAAATATTGTAGAAGCTCGGAATTTAGAAACGAATTAAATAAGGGGGCGACACCTGTGAAAACGCATGGTATTCGTTTTCGTGTTGCCAGGAGACCACACCGACAATCGATGGGATATAGACTGTACCGTAAGGTCTCCGATTTTATGAAGTTCCTTTATGTGTTTTGTTTTAAATATTAGAAGCTGTAAGATGTCGGATCAAAATTGACCGTATATTATTTATAAGATTTACACACTTTGTGCATTTTTAAATAAGGTATTGCCAACGAAAATGTACTGCATAAAAACCTATACAAACTCTGGCAAAAACCAATCAAGTTGCCACAGGAAATATTGGTTTGTACAACCATGGAAAAATATCACAAAACAGTGTTATGGAGTATCTGATGTTGAACAGTCTACAAATTCGTTTCAGAAATTGTTGTAGAGAACAAGTTTACGAAGAAAAGATTGCCGTATTATTTCGATAGTTTTCCCCTAAGACAAAGAGCTAATATTTGTGTAAAATATTAATATAAGGAAATCTGAAGTGTTGGGTTAGATTTGTAAACTTTTATTTCAGTTTTTCGCTACTAGAAGGCAGCACGTGCCAGGTTATAAACTTTTTGTGAAAATAAATTTTACCGAATTTTTGATTGATTAGGTGACGAAATACTAAGTTTTTTGTTGTTGTTTTTTAGTTCAGTGGCAGTATAAAAATGCATTTTATATGCATAAATTATTTTAATGAGAAAGTATTAGCCCCTGGAAAGTTATCAATAATTGAACAAGTTTCATTTACAGTTACTTCTGGTATTTTTGTGTATATTGGTTTATAAACCTCTAACTCAACATGTTATTATGAAGGATCATTAAAGTTGCATTTAATAATATTTCATCACAATTTATATCGATGTTTTAGCGTCAGCCCATGTCACTAAATGTCTCAATAACCTTTAAAAAAACCCGTCTCTAATGGATTAGAGGTGAACTTGTTACGCTGGTGTATTATTAGAATACAAGTAAAAATCATAGAGTTGGGATCATTAAAACGATTCATAATGTATGCTTAATGTTCGTTTCACAAACCAATTTGCTATTTTTGATGCGTGCCTTGGCTATATCACCAAATGTAAAAACGTATTTTATTTCTATCGAATCAGTGTTACATAGGTCTCAAGCTTCGGATCATCCTTGCCAGTTTTGACTTGGCAAAATGCCATGATTTACTCACCTCAAGCTTGTGAACACGAGGTTGAACTTTTTTTGTTAGTTTTGTATTAGCCACGTGAGTTCCAACCAGTGCTAAACACGGTAATACTATACCTTTATGCTTGAATTAATATGCTGGGAAGCTTCCACTCAAAACACATTGTTTGTCGTTTATACCATGACACAGTAATATTTTAGGCTTCGTAGCGATAACTTATTCGTGCGGCCTGTATTTGAAAAGTATTGTTTAATACAAATTGTAGAGATTAAAGTAATGTCCTAGTAATAATACTGATAACATAGACTAATGTTTGAAATTTTATATTTGGAGATTTGCCAAACATTATTTCAGCGACGGTGAAAACTGTTAATGTTGTAGTATTAATACACAGAGGTTTAATTGTTATTAATATTTGTACCAGTTTTAATGTGGGGTTATGTAGCATTAGGTGTACTGCAACTCAAGATACTGGTCCTTTTATCCGCATTTTCGTCATGAGTATCTATCTACACGTGCAAATTACACACGTGTTTAGTTAGAGATGATTTATTCATAAAATAACGACACTCTTAAGCCTTTAAGTCTAACTATTGTGCTAACAACCTCTTAAGATTGTGATTGCGGTGTTGTGCAGCAAAACCGTTCACAATTCGTGTAAAGTTGCCTTTACATTGACTATTAACTATTCTTTCCCTCATCGGCGATTCACAAAAAACTTGCCGTGAAAAATCAATAACGCATGCGCTCTCCCATTCTTACGACGAGCAACAAAGTGGGGGGGGGGGTAATTATATCCTCCTCCTCAGTTTAGAGCGTACATATAGAAGTGGCGCCTCATAGTACTTGTGCATGTAGCGTCTGAGACCTAGAGTTCTCTCTCTCTCTCCCTTTATTCTACCAATTCTTCTTTCTGTATTCTTAATCTCATCCTGTCTGTCATTCACATGTTGGCTGTGTTTCTTATTTAACCTCCTCCCCGTTACAGAACTTGCTCCAATTTTGAAACTGTGCCCGTTGGTTGAAACCATGTGTTAGAACCTGGAAGAACTGATTGATCGGTATCTAACCCCGCCTTCCGAACCGTGCTCGCCTATGTTGTAACAGCAGTGAGACTCGTACATTTATTTAATAGTGAAAAAAAGAAAGAAACATTTCTCACTTACCATATTGATTTGTTATAGATTTAAAAAAACACGGTGGTAATTGTTTCTTTTTTTTTGGATAAAAATCAGCAAAAGTGATAAGATACCCGAGATAAACGCTATCTATATTTGAGGTATAACTCGTGTGTTAGAGATTATTTTTTTTATTTAAATATTATGTTTAGTTAAAAAAAAAAAGAGGATGACATTTAGTTGTTTTTTTCGACGGTAACAAGGCGCTAACCACAGATCTATATTCCGGTACGTTAATATGTCTGAATAAGCTACAAAAGTTGCAAAACGGGAGTCGACAATAAGCTTTTGTTGGTACTATTTATGAAAATGAAGTTTACAAGACGTGAATTTTTGAAGTGGTTCGATTTTTGGTGTTGCATCACTTTGAAAAAAAAGATTACTTATTCATACGAACTGTCGACACGTTGGTGGAATAATAAAAAACAACTAATCAGCACGTGTTGATATGTTTATATTTCCTTTCAAATTATAACAGCACTAATGAAATTCTTTAATACAAGTTTAACATAACAGCAAATGTACAACGTTTCGATAAGGTTTTGTCATCATCAGGTACAAAACCTTGTCGAAA